AATGCCTGGGGTCCTCTCCAGTGGTCTAGGGGTTAAGTCTCACCACTATCATCACAAAGGCTTCAGTTTGATCCCTGGCCTGTCACACAGCTGCTCCACTTGGCAGTGTATTTCAGTAGATCTGCCTTTCCTGCTCCCACTCTGTCTCCGGTGAATCCTCTCACCCTACACATATCTGGCCTACACCCAGTTCTATGGGAAAAAAAAATACTTAAAACAGTGCCTGGCATGTTGAATATATAAAATTTCACAAGGAGATATTTTTTATCCTTTTTTAACTTGCAAACTAAAAAAAAAAAAACACTTTATACTCAATTTTGAATTCAGTTACTATAAATACAAAATTTATATATTAATATTTCATTATATGATGAAATAATTCATATTTTGTTTATCACACCTGGATCTGCATACTTTGTAAAAGAATATATTTGCATGAAGTACTACTATCAGTCTACAGACAGTGTTCAAAATGTAAATGAATTTTCAATAAATCTGAGGTGATCTGGGGTTCACGACACACATATACTCTCCACAGATTGATCCTCAGTGGCTATAAAACAAGCCCTTACTTTGTCCTTTTTAACTAATTAGGCTCCTACCAGAATTCTAATGTAGAAACTACACTGATATTATCTTCTCTTTCCCCCACCAGACATGGCCCAAGATGAACCTGTGAGAGTTGAGTAAACAAAACCCACACAGACTGTAGGAGTTTAGCCCCTTGGAAAAATAACATAAGAAATTATTAACTGGAACTACTGGGAGGCATGTTCAGAATGTGATTATAATTAAGAAAGCTAAATTTATTCCATTGCCTCTAAATTAAATGTATTAACAGAAGGGGTTAGCCAAGAGCAGAGTAGGAAATACTGGAAACAAAAGCTGTCTCTGAGTTTCTTGTTTTTATTTATACTTAATTTCATTTGTTCTGATTTAAGCTAACAACATTCTGGTGATAACTTGACTTCCTGTGTAGGATATTCTGAAACAAGGGCTGACAGGGCAGGAGGCCAGATGGAAGGATGGAACAGCCTGGGACCTGAGACAAGAGAGCTACCAAAAAACCACAAAAGGCTAAAAAACCAAAAACCAAAATCAAGGACTATAGCAATACAATACCCATCTAATAGGGGCCTGTGGGCTATGGCCTAACAAAGGACAGTACCTGAAAAGAGTAGAGGTCAGTTTGTGGGTTCTCACCCGCACCCACAATTGCAAGAGATCTTAGGTTCCACAAACAATCACCATGGTTTTATTTTACAAAGAGAGGAAACAAAGAGCTTACTGTATCTAGAAGTGGCTGACTCTCTCACCCAGATAGCATCAGTGATAGTCACCACTGGTCACCAGCAGTGCTGGACAGCACTGACCAGTGCTGGTCACTACTGGTCCCTCAGGCAGTGTCAGACACTCAATATTAACAGCTCTTGGTGAGTTAGTTGGGCTATCCTAACACAAACAACTCTTTGAGACACCAGGCACTGGCCTTTGATGCTCCTTTCAGGCAATGTTAGCGGCAGGACTGCAAGCCCAGTCTCTGAAAAAGGTGTTTGGTTTCTCTTCCCTCCTCAGAGGTTAGCTGCTGGATGCTTCTTTTCTTCATTCTTCTGAGGTCAGGAACGGAGTATTCCCCTTCTTTCATCAGAGGCTGAAACAATCTTATTTCTTCCCACTGAGGCTAGATCTAGTTGTGTCTCCACTTTGGGGGCTGGCATCATCTCGCCAACCCTCAGCTCCCGCTGAGCCTGGCTTATATCCTCAAGTCTGAGTGGAACTTTTTTTTCAATCCTGTGGCTGATTGGACCACTTATCATCAATCTGCTCATAGCTTGCTCCTGATTGGTCCATTCCAGGATCCAACACATACACTGTTGCATAAAAGATCTCTAAGGAGCAACTGCCACAACTGACAAAAAGTCAGTTACTGGGCTCTGAGGAGCCTTAGTGGATTTGCGGTGGAGCAGTAGAGTGAAAGAACACCACTGCGACAGCTGGCTCCCACAGCTGCGGTGGCTGGGTTCTGGTAAAGTTCGATGAGGAAACTTGTACTTGGCCCTATTGTGAATGAATTAATCTGTATCCTGAGTCATGAAGCTGTTGGCTGTGAATGAATTTAGTTAGCATAAAAGCCTGAGGGTATTCTCAACTCTGGTATCCAACAGGACTGACAGGAGAATAGAATAGTAGAATAAGTGGACCACATGTATTCCGGCTTTACTGTCAGTCATTGTTTGTAATATCTCTGTGTCTCATCTTTTATAATCCAATGGGACCTAATCATGTTGTTAAGGGGAAGGTTATCCTAAAAGAACTCTTCAGTTTGGTTACAGGGTAGCCCCGAGTGAACTCTTGGGCTGCCTGTTTGTGGGGCCTTACCCAAGCACTTAAAATATAATTTTCAGCAGACACACACAAAAGGGGAAAGGAAAAGGAACAACCTAGGGAAAGTGAGAGGGATACAAAGTAACTGGAATATCTTACCAGGTGGGCTAACTTGGAGCTCTAGTCACAAACTAAAAATGCTACCCCCAGTCACACGGTGAGAGCTGTTGCTCCAGAGAGAAAGAACCGTTACCTCTCCAGTGTGACAGTTAGAAAACCGCTCTATATTTATCCCCCAAAGTCCCAGAATGCCTGCTTAGCTCCGCCCTTAGGTCCTTGCAGTTCTCTCCTTGGTACTGCTGGGAGTTGTAGTTTTCCAATCACTGGAGTAGTGGATGGAATACAGAAAGCTGGAGTAGAGTGGAGTCCACAAGACTCTGCAGAGTTCTTTTAGGACATCCTTTCCCTTAACACATCAATTATTAAAACTATTTCATTAATTGCCACTTACATACTAAATTGATTTATTCAGTTCAGCCATTATCTTGAATATTGAGCAACACATTCTGCTGAAGTTCTGTGATTATAATAAAATTATGAAAATGCAGAAACAAAAAAAGTATCAAAAGATGAATGGATAAGCAAAATATGGTATTCACACATAATGGAATATTATATATCTTTAAAAAGGAATGCAGACATTCAGACACATGTTAACACATGACAAACCTTGAAGACATTATGCTAGAAGAAATGTTGAAGGAAAGCAGTTTGGCTTAGCAGCTTAGCTTGGTTAGCAATTCTGGGCCTCAGGCTGATAAAGAAGCGCCCGCGACCTTGACTAGGTTCTGGCTGTCTCCATTCCCGTACATGGGCACAGACCCAAAAACCCCAGCTTATAGGTTCTTTTGTGAATAATTTTGATACTTTCCATCCGCCTAACCGGGGCCTGACCAATGGGCGCAGGCCACGGTACCCCCCTTTGTTACAGTAATCTCCTTTTCATGTATATAAGCTTGATGCTGAAAATAAAGACAGGGACTTTCCTGGTGAACAGACTCACGGTGTCCGTCCTTTTTCCTTTCAAATGTCACACACAAAAAGACAAATCCTGCATAACTCCATCTATAGGAGGTGTCTGGACTAGAGGAATCATAGAGACAAAGTAGAATAGTGGTTGCCATGTGACTGAAGGAGAGGTCAATGAGTACATAATTTCAACTTTGCCAAAGTTCTAGAGATGGATAGTGGTGATAATAGCTGATAAGTAAATATAAAAACAAACAAACATGGAATCATCCCATGCCTGAGTAAAATCCAGTTTGTCATCTGATGAGATATATGCTAAGATATATCTACTGCAGAGAAGAGATAAAACTGCATTGGCAAGTCAAAAACCATCCAAGATTGATTAATCACCCTTTCCAAACTTCCATCAATCACTGACTAAAAATTACATAAGCATAAAGCAGTTCTGAATGGGGATGGCCCCACCTTCACTGGGCTATTTGAAGATACCACTCTTGGCCTTTCCAACAGCAGCTCTGAAGCCACAAATAGGCCTTTGCTGTAACACATTTGCTCCAGTGTACAAGTTGTGACTTGACAAGTCTTTCATTTTTCAGTCAACATAGCACATGAATGTATTTAATGTCACTGCACTGTATACTTAAAATGTATTAAGATAGTAAATTTTATGTATAAGAAAATTTGAGATAAAGGAAAAGTTGGACTAGGGTTTCTGGCCTAAGGTGCCTACAGTCTCCATGAGGGGACATATAGGTTGGGTGGCACCGTGTTTATGGAATGCAGACTAAAGAGAGTTAATACTTGTCATTCATTGGTGGGAGGAATTTAAATTGGTGCAGTCTTAATGGAAAATGATATGGAGATTTTTTAAAAATCAAGCAATGGAAATATCATATAAACCAGCAATGCCATATCAAAGTAATAATCAAAGAATATGAAAAAACTAACTCAGAAAAATATATGCTCCCCTATGTTGAGAGCAGCAGTATTCACAATAGCCAATCAACCTAAGAGAATCAATCTAAATGCCTATCTATGGATACTGGATAAAGAAATACGGTAGTATACTCAATGTATTACTCCTCAGTATTTAATAAGATAAAATCCTGTCTTTTGTAACAATATTGATGAAACTGGGATGAGTGAAATAAATCAGAAAGTGAAAGACAGCTACTTGATGGTTTCGCTCATATGTGGACTATAAATAACCAAATCAAGCAAACTGGTAAAACACAACAAAAATCTTGAGCTCCAAAAAATATGGTGGTTACCAACAGGGAAGCGGGAAAAAATGGAAGCAATGTGCTGTTATGCTTTTAGTAGAACTTTTGTGGTGGGTGTGAAGCAGATGTACGCAATTGAAGCTGCAACCGTCAACCATAGTTTCATAAACTAGATGTAAATCAACAAAATTTGACTTTAATAACATAAAATAGAGGTTAATACCCGACCCATTTCATGAAGAATCCTGCACAAAACATAGGTCATTATATAATTCCTTCAAGCGCTTTTAAGCAGTTAGCCAGGAGCCTTCCATTCTGGCTTGAAAAACAGGAGACCCAGTTAGATTCTTTCCCACGCCTAGCTTGCTTTTGGTTTGGCTTTCCTTCACAGGGTTGAAACCTCACCCTCCCAGCAGATGGCGCGGGCGCCCTCAGAGCACCTCCAGGGACATGGGGGCGCTCTTGCCAGCCTTTGCCTCACCTCGGTGACCTTTCCTTCCGCCTCCGGGGCCCGCCACGCCTCCCTCCGCTCGCTACTGCGCACACTCCAGCTGCTGCCGGGCGGTAGCATGGCGGCCTCTTCTAGTGGAGAGAAGGAAAAGGAACGGTCGGGAAGCGGCTCAGGGGCGACAAGCGGCAACAGCACACGAGAACGGTTGCTGTCCGCGTTGGAAGATCTGGAGGTCTTGTCGAGGTAACCCACAAGGGATTGGCCGGGGCTCGACCAAGAGGATTGACTCGCGGGTAACCGGCCTTGCGTAAGCGCTGGTTCGCAGGTCTCGCCCCGCTCTGGAGACCCCTGGGCGCCCTGCTTAAAATAATGCGAAAGCCGTGGATGCCACGCTCGGGGATTTCGTGGAGGCATTTCTCCCACTTAGAGGATATTTTAATAGTGACAGTGACCCTAGAGCCCCAGTACTGTCACCCTTAGCGGATCTTGGAGATCTCCAGGTGTGTGGCCCTAGCCTACCGTTCTACAAACATTTAAGAGATGCCCCTGGGTGTCAGGCACTCCCCCCTCCTTGTAATGAGGGGGAGACTAGTCGACCCATTGAAAGAACACAGTGTTAAGAGGGAGTTGTACAGAAGTGTAAAACAGCGATTGGCCCCAAGCCTTTTTTCATCAGAGGCTTGCGCGGTGGGCTACCGAAACCCAAGAGACTGGGTGCCTGGAGGAATTTCGGACGTCCTAGGAAGAATAAGTTCATCAGACTCATTGGGCAGCAGGTAGATGGAACTGCTTGTACAAAGCCCTAGAAAAATGAGCACGCATGACTTGGGGGAATTGCGAGTTTGGGATGACAGGAGTGCTGCGCGTGTGGCAGAGGTAGGTTAGGTGTTGTTCTCCTTATATTCTGTCACATTTCGTGGTAGTATTTTGGAACCTTCCTTAACGCCCTCACATTCACTTAGTTGTTAAAGTTGTATTGATACTACCTCCTAAAATATTGCTTAGATTTAACTTCTTGTTCCTTCCCTGCTGACATAACTATTTCTTAAAGCAACTTACCAACATTCTACTTAAAGCTTCTGCCCCTTTTCCTTCTGTGTTATTCAAGAACAGAGTGTTCTTTTAAACATGTCCAGTAGATTCCCAATTGCCCAATGAGGTAGATCCAGTTACTTAATTTAGTGTGACAAAGCTATTCTCCATCTGGTCTTAATCACACCCTTTCTAATCCACTGTCCCCCTCCCCCAGTCTCTTGAATGCTCCCCATTTAAAGCTATCAAATACTTTCTCATATTCACTGCCTTTCCCATTCCTCTATCAGGATATACCTATTAATCCTTCAGAATCCAGTTCAAACTTATCTTCTCTTTAGCAACATTCTTTGACCTATTTTAGAGCAATTCTTATATGTTGTATTACCTGAGCTACTAAACGTTGGCATTTTTTCTTTGCTATAAATTTAGTCGTTGCTATAGCAGGCATTACCATAATCACTGTGTCAATATAATATGAAATGGTGTAAGTTAACAAAACTAAACTAAACTAAATACAGACACCAGAAGTTATAATTGTTCGTTTAGTCCACTTGTTAGACTATATTAGATTAAAATACTGCTGGACAACAAACAGGGCGCATGCATTTTCAGCTACATAAGTCAATACAGAGAACAGTAAACTCATAGTTAGCAGACAGCTGCTTATATGTGTTGTCTAGATGTGAGTGTTTACACAGATTAATACTACTAATGCTATTTCCTTCTTTGTCTTTCTTGGTATTGTAGTTTGTGATGGAGAGCTTGTCGGTTTTTTTTTTTTTTTTTCCTTTAGTTAATGCTACTGAATGAATGCTTGATTTATTTCTTAGTAAAAAGACCCTGACATCATGGCATTTTCGTGTTTTGGATAAATAAGTTTTGGTAATTGATCCAGCTCAGATTTATTGAGTCACTGCAGCTGGGAGCACTGAAGTTCTCACATGGACTGTAGGACAAGAGAATTCGGCAAGATCAAGTCAGAAGTCATGGGAAAGTTTATTGTATTTGCAAAAAATTTTTTTTCTTTCCTTTCTTTTAGGGAACTGATAGAAATGCTTGCAATTTCAAGGAACCAAAAGTTATTACAGCCTGGAGAGGAAAACCAAGTAAGTGACTTATTTTGTAATTAAAAATAAACAATATGTGCAAGTTTCCTACTTATACTTTCTGAGAGAACAGAAAATTGAATCCTTTTAAATATTAATTGAAACTTTTTAAACTGGTAGTTTCTTTGTATCATTTACACAAGATAAGAAAAGTTATGTAAAGGTTTAGCAGTATTTCATGATCTTCTCTCATATGTCTAGTTACATATTTAAGTTTTTTCTTTTGAATTAACAAAGACTTGTTTAAATGGAGACTAAAACACTATGTGGATTAAAAAATATTCTCAAGTTAACCCATTATTGGATGCTTCGTCCTGTAGTGCACCTTGAAAATGAACAGAAGTAATAGTTATTTTGTGGTTAAGGTTACAAATTTTATTTTTGTGATACTTTTATGTGCATTCTAATTTTCTGTAATGAACAGATTTTTTTTCTATTTCAAGAAATGTTTTGAAAACAGGCAGTTACAGTTACAGAAGTTTTTTTAAAACTGTAACTTGAAAAATATTTTGAAGAGCTAACAAGAAGGATTACCTTTCCTAAGCTTTAAATAGGAGAGAGTACTAAACCTCTTTTCCCAACCTCTGTTTTATATAGTTATTTTATAGTTTCATTTTATGATGTGCTTGAAGGACTAGAAAGTTGAACCCAATTTTCTCTTTTCTGCCTTTAACTTTCATAGTTTTTGCCATATCTGCATAGTATTTACTTACTTACTTTTTGAAATCAACTTTTAGCCTTTTTCATTCTTCAAGAAATCACAGGTTTAATGTAACAGTTTTATTTTTTCTAAGACATGTTAGCACAGATGTATAACTATAAAAAATTTTTAAGTCATTAATGCCAACTGAAATCATCTTAAGTATTTCAAGGGAACATTATTATATTTAAGCTTAAACTTTTAAAATTTATCTTCCTTGGGAAATAGTAAATCTGCTTATTTTGGCATACTGTAGTTCTGAAAGGCTTATTCTCTTTGAAAAATAGCATATAATTAGGAAGTCTGAAAAACCTTGATATTTGTTTCCTAAAATAATCATGGGTAAACTATTTTTTTATTCTCAATAGGGATTGTAAATAGTATTTTAAAGATGTTAATGTTTAGCCTAATCAGTTCACATATGGGTGCTGTGTTTTATTATTAGACTATAACTTTCAACAGTCTGTTGTCTACTTTAATCAATTATTATCTAATAGGTACTTGAGTTGTTAATTCACAGAGATGGGGAATTTCAAGAATTGATGAAATTGGCACTTAACCAGGGAAAAATCTATCATGAAATGCAAGTTTTAGAAAAAGAAGTAGAGAAAAGAGACAGTGATATTCAGCAACTACAAAAACAATTAAAGGAAGCAGAACAAATCCTGGTAAGTTGACAGTGACTAGTTCTTAAATTTAAGGAAAGTATATTGTTTATTTCTGAAAAATAAATCTATTAGAAGTACTTTGAAGTGGCAGAAAACTTGACTTTCCAAGTCTAAAAGGCACAACTTATCGGTTTAGTTAAATGAAACGCTATTGTTTCCCCTTTTTCACCTAGTATTTTTGGGTAGTCTGCCTTACTTTGGATCTGCATTTTCATTAGGTTTCCCAGGATTTCATTATAAAATAGGAAATTTCACTTTTGTCCTGTTCTAATGTAAGTTTTAGTTATTTATAGTCTAAATCTTTACTTCAGTTTAAAAAATACTTTTAAGCTAGCAAATACATTTTTGATCCTTGAACATAACAGGTTTGAACTGAGCAGGTCCACTTACAGTAGAATTTCCTTGTAAAGATGATGTAAAATAACAGTATTGATAAATATAGTACATTGCTGTAAATGTATTTTCTCCTATGATTCTCTTAATGACATTTTCTTTTCTCTACCTTACTTTATTATAATAATGTACTGTGGTCTTAAAATAGAATACAGCATAAAAATGTGTTAATAGATTGTTTATGTTATTG